GTTATTATCTGCTAAGTCATTACAATTATAACTGGCTATACTTATTTCACCACTTACCATAATGAGATACAAGTTTCAAATCTATTTATCATAATATATGTTTGCAAATTTACCAATACAAAATACCATAGTGATTGAGTGTCCATACAGCTGTACCATGATATTTGCATTGCTACTAAGTAACCTTCCAATTGTTCTCCACTATTCCCTCCGCTAAAGCCCCTCCCCATCCCAAGTTGGGTTGTCATCCCAGTGATCAGCATACCACCCCCGTCCCCAGATCCCTAGGCCCCCGAGAGGCCAGGACTCATCCTTTGAAAAGAGCACACTGTGCCACCCACAAAACACAAGCAGGTCAACCTCCAAAAGCATTTCCAATGCTCTCACCTCAATATATATATAGCTATTAAAAATACAGTGGGGAGAACAAGTATTTGATACACTGCCGATTTTGCAGGTTTTCCTACTTACAAAGCATGTAGAGGTCTGTCATTTTTATCATAGGTACACTTCAACTGTGAGAGACGGAATCTAAAACAAAAATCCAGAAAATCACATTGTATGATTTTTAAGTAATTAATTTGCATTTTATTGCATGACATAAGTATTTGATACATCAGAAAAGCAGAATTTAATATTTGGTACAGAAACCTTTGTTTGCAATTACAGAGATCATACGTTTCCTGTAGGTCTTGACCAGGTTTGCACACACTGCAGCAGGGATTTTGGCCCACTCCTCCATACAGACCTTCTCCAGATCCTTCATGTTTCGGGACTGTCGCTGGGCAATACGGACTTTCAGCTCCCTCCAAAGATTTTCTATTGGGTTCAGGTCTGGAGACTGGCTAGGCCACTCCAGTACCTTGAGATGCTTCTTACGGAGCCACTCCTTAGTTGCCCTGGCTGTGTGTTTCGGGTCGTTGTCATGCTGGAAGACCCAGCCACGACCCATCTTCAATGCTCTTACTGAGGGAAGGAGGTTGTTGGTAAGATCTCGCGATACATGGCCCCATCCATCCTCCCCTCAATACGGTGCAGTCGTCCTGTCCCCTTTGCAGAAAAGCATCCCCAAAGAATGATGTTTCCACCTCCATGCTTCACGGTTGGGATGGTGTTCTTGGGGTTGTACTCATTCTTCTTCTTCCTCCAAACACGGCGAGTGGAGTTTAGACCAAAAAGCTCAATTTTTGTCTCATCAGACCACATGACCTTCTCCCATTCCTCCTCTGGATCATCCAGATGGTCATTGGCAAACTTCAGACGGGACATGCGCTGGCTTGAGCAGGGGGACCTTGCGTGCGCTGCAGGATTTTAATCCATGACGGCGTAGTGTGTTACTAATGGTTTTCTTTGAGACTGTGGTCCCAGCTCTCTTCAGGTCATTGATCAGGTCCTGCTGTGTAGTTCTGGGCTGATCCCTCACCTTCCTCATGATCATTGATGCCCCACGAGGTGAGATCTTGCATGGAGCCCCAGACCGAGGGTGATTGCTGCTTGCCTATTGTCCTGTAGCCCATCCCAGCCTTGTGCAGGTCTACAATTTTATCCCTGATGTCCTTACACAGCTCTCTGGTCTTGGCCATTGTGGAGAGGTTGGAGTCTGTTTGATTGAGTGTGTGGACAGGTGTATTTTATACAGGTAACGAGTTCAAACATGTGCAGTTAATACAGGTAATGAGTGGAGAACAGGAGGGCTTCTTAATGAAAAACTAACAGGTCTGTGAGAGCCGGAATTCTTACTGGTTGGTAGGTGATCAAATACTTATGTCATGCAATAAAATGCAAATTAATTACTTAAAAATCATACAATATGATTTTCTGGATTTTTGTTTTAGATTCCGTCTCTCACAGTTGAAGTGTACCTATGATAAAAAATTACAGACCTCTACATGATTTGTAAGTATGAAAACCTGCAAAATCGGCAGTGTATCAAATACTTGTTCTCCCTACTGTATATACTGTATCTATTCAAATATATTGCATATCTTAATTTCCATCATTAAATTAATATGCGTAATAACGTCGGCAGTTCATGTGAAGGATTGTTACCTTTAACCCGGATTGCCATTGTATTACATTACATTTTTGTCAAGCAATTATTATTTTAGCAAACAATTATTGTGGTTCATCCTATATTCTCCCTAACATCCTTACCCCCTTGCAACAGATGTGGGATACACACACACACACGCACATACTCTAACACACTCAACCCCTTTCTTCCACAATCAACCATAAGCTCAGATGCTCAATGGTTGTTAGATCCCAGAGCCCAACTCAAGAAAGGACCTGATTTACGAATGCATATACAGTTACAGCTGTTTGAGAAAGCATGCAAAATTGAGCAAAAATTGACACAAATTTGAGATTTGATTAACCTATGTCAAGTCCTAGGTGATGGAGATTCGATCCACCCTCACTCTGGTCCCCCGTTGTAACCATTTTTCCCACGCCTCTCTGTGCAGTCAGACCTTTGATTATTTTGTGCCACCAGGGCCACAATAATATTTCCCCTCTCTGATTGTCCAAGTGTGACCCCCTCCCCATGGGTTACTGCAGCCAGTGTTGCCAGCACTGCCACTACCTGGGTGGGGGTACCCCACCGGAATCGCCACTGGCTAGGTACAAGGTCATCAAGGTTCTCATTAGCAGCTTTGAGAATTTCCTTGTATATTATGCTCTCCCATCAGGGGACTCTGGCTTTGTAGCACCAACCCTGCCAGGCAGGCTCAGTCATTCTTAGCTTGGTTCTGTATGGAATGCAGGCACATTATGGGACAGAGGCCAGGTCATTATCAATTATTTTAAAAAATGTATAAGAAAATTGGTGCGACCAAATTATGTGCTGGTGCCACCAACTGAAAAAGTTGGTAGCACCAGTGCCACCAATGGAAAACGTTAGTTTAGTTCCCTGTCATGGTTGGCCCAGCGTCGTCCAGGGTAGGGGAGGGAATGGCCGGCAGGGATGTAGCTCAGTTGGTAGAGCATGGCGTTTGCAACGCCAGGGTTGTTGGTTCGATTCCCACGGGGGGCCAGTATGAAAAAAAAAAAGAAATGAAAAGAAATCTCACTAACTGTAAGTCGCTCTGGATAAGAGCGTCTGCTAAATGACGTAAATGTAATGGTTATTCATTGTTTTATTCTATGTTACAGCATTCAACCCAAATAATGCATAGTGCATTTAATGTCCCAAAAAATTATCGAAATCGAAAACTGTGATCATTTTAAAAATAATCGAACCGAAGCTGAACCGACCTTAAAAAGCACTAATCGCTCAGCACAAAAAAGGGCCTAGAATTGTCACTTTCATCATGCTTTTCTCAAAAACTGTTTGTGTCAAACATCCTTCCTCCCAATGACGTTTCCTTGTGAATATTGCCAGAACAATGTAAGATACCAAAAATATTTTCCGGCTGTCCAGGCGTGGAATCGCCCAGTTGTCAGATGTCTAAATTCTACCATCCACAAACTAAGACCAAATATTGCTGGAAGAAATAAATATATCTGATAATCATTGCATAAGATGACCAGTTGCTTTGCCTTTTGGTGGCATTGTGATGCTATGCTGTTAACCTGGAAAGCTTCCTCCATGTCCTCTGAAACAGCTGTGTGTTCTCACTGCCTAAATGTGGGTTAATGACAGTACGTCAGACAGACAGGCTAAAGATGTTGAAGTCAAAGAGGTGATAGGCAGCACTGGAAACACTTAAAGGCATAGTCAAAACATAAGGTCACTCTTCCAAGTTGACTATGCCTTTGCCATGTACTGTAGGTTGAGTTATGTATTTGAAGGGAGGTGATCTATTTCACAACTGCACAGAAGTTATTACAAATGAATGAGTGGGCCTCTTTGCCCTAGCCTTATGTCACAGAGGCCCACTCTAGTTGAGTGTGTCTGTTTCTGGGGTGAGATTGGGAGCAGAGCAAACCAGAAGATGAATTTAATCTGCAAGATAGTCAAAGTAGTATTATTATTCTATCCCTTCAGACAGTAGGAGTGGACGCTATCTGTAAGTCTGTCTCTGGCAGTGCCCATGTTTGCTCCTCTCTCTTGGCTCAGACTACTAAGTTAATACAGCATTAGCACCTGGCAAGCGAGTGTTGCCCTCACAGGGTTATTCATGGAGGAACTTTATATAAATAATATAACCCCTGTTGGTTTCTGTCTGGGCTGTCTGTCAGATTAGATGGTTTAAGTGGGTAAAGGATGCCAGGCCCCAGGTGGGTTGTTGAAGATTGTGTGTGTGTATTTGAAAGTGTCAGAGAGGGACACACATAGAGGTCTAAAGGGTCAGGCAGTATATCACTGTGACCCTATCATGTTTTCTGAGGTGAGGCAGGTGGTGGCACAGAGGACTGAGGACCAGGTGAGGCCATCTCTTAATCTCAAATTGGATAAATCAGATTTACAGAAGGACAGCCAAGGATAAGGTTACCAGCTACTACCACACCTTAACCCACCCCCAGTCAAAGTCAGTCTTCACCTATATAGACCTAGGGCCAACCCAGAGCCTGTTGTCCTTGTGAGGGCAGCTAGGCTGGGTAGACAGGCCTGGGGTCTGAAGGGGCAGGATTACGAGGACAGCAGCCAGCCGTAACACAGGAGATCACAGTCGGTCGAGTCCAGGGGATTTAGTCTGATGTGTGGGGCAGTGGAGGAGGGATTAGGGAATAGGTCTTAACGCTTATGCTGCTCTCACCAGGAAGAGCTCTGTCAGTCTCTCCTGTTCACTCAGAGAGAGAGAGAGGGAGAGTCTGCTGTGTGCCATGATTAGAAGGCTGACGACCATGGGACAGCGGAGTGTTTATGAGAGTCTGTAGGAGTCTATTTGTGTTGGACTAAACTGTGAGCTTACTGCGCTGTCCCTGACACAGAGATGGAGAGAGAGCATTTTCTGTGTGCCGTGGCTGGCAAGCTGACGATTGCGGGACATCGGAGCATTTATACAAGGAGCCTATCTGAGTGTGTCTGCACTGAACTGTGATCTCTAGTCATCACCATGAAAGACCCGTGCCGCGTATGCGGCGTGCGCCTCATTGGCAGCCAGTGCCGCTGGATCTTCAACCCGTCGGGGAAGCGGCAGCTCCAGGTCATCCTGTCCCACGTGCTGGGGCACGAGGTCGACCGCGACCCTGACGGCCAGGCCTCAGAGTTCCTGTGCGGCAAGTGTGTGTTTACGCTGGAGCGGGTGGTGCAGTGCGATGTGCAGATAGGCAGGCTGCAGGAGGAGCACGCCACTCAGGTGCAACAGCTGCAGCAGGAGAGGGAGCACCTGAAGGAGTGCGTGGCCCACGTCTACGGACGCCACAACCCCCCGCCTAAGAGGCCCGATGTGGGGGAGGAGAACAATGTTAAGGTCCCCCTCTGGAGGTCCGCTGAAGGTGGTGGAAGCGCAGAGGATTACGGGGGAGGGCAGTGTACGTCAGAGGGGCAGACCAAGGAAGGTGCGGGGGAGGGGGATGGTCGGGGGAGGCGCTCTGTGAGTATGGACCTCCTGGGTGGACCGAGTGGTCGAAGGGGAGTCGCAGGTCGGTCAAGCTCAGCCCCCAGGAGGGTGCAGGCAGGGACAGATCTCTGCCCGGTGAAGAACCCCTGGCTCCAGTCAGCGCGGCTCCGCTCCAGGAGCCTGATGTACCTGGACCTGGTCTACCGCAAGGGTACTCTCTCCTCTCCCAGCTCCAGGCTTCGCTCAGCCTCGCTCCAGTCCCTCAATCCTGACCACCCTCAACAGACAGAACCCCTGTGCCCCCTGCCACAGAGACAACGCAGAGAGTCGAAGATACCATTGAGGGAGCGTTTACCCTCAGTTGGCCCGGCTACCAGCATTACCACACCCCAGAGAGCCCAGCCTTCCATCATCTCTGACCTGCTGCAGCTGCTGCGCTCCATCCCCAGACGACCGGTGCCAGCTGCCCCCAGAAGCCGCATCCCCATCCTGCGTAGGAGGCCCAGCGTCGGACAGCCGCTTCCCCCAGGACGCAGCCTCACCCCTGGGGCCTGGCACAGACTGAGGCAGGCAGAGTGGAGGTCCCTCCAGGACCTCACGGAGGAGTTTAAGGATGATTACATGCCACTCAGAGCTGAGGTTGTCCAGTCAGCCCAGACCCTTACTCTGTAGAGAATTTAAAGGCCCTGGAAATGTAGCTTGGTTAAACCAGACTGAATGCTGCGCTCATTTATACAGAATTGGGATCATAAATTGTTTTGACTGATTAAAATCAATAACTAAATGGGATTCAAAGCTGTTCTGTGCCCATGTGTCCTAGTATTGGACACAATACTATAACCCTCTGTTAACTCACTGTCCTTTTGGCCTTCGTTAGCCAACTCATCCCTCTTTGTTGACAAATGTTCCTGAATCTTGTGCTTTACTTTTCCAGGGTTTCAATGAGCAGCAGAGTGAGGTGAGCAGACTGGAGACAGCCAACAGGCAGTTGAGTGAGGAGATGAACCAGTTCAGCGCAACCAACCAGAACCTCTCCAAGACCCTGGAGGACACCCAGAACAACAACAAGGTAGATTGAGAGGGAAAGAGAGAATGCAGAGCGCTTTGTTTTTATAACATATATAAATGTTCTCACCATGGAATTTCCACCATTTTGAAATGAATAGGCTAAACCTAGGCCATCCTTCCAGTTCTACAGAAATGGCTATGGGGTAGGAGCACTTTGTAGGGGTGGATTCAAAATGTACCATTATGACGAATCTAACATGTTAGAGGCAGATTAATCTACTGTTTTGGCTACTTGAGGTCCCTGACTCCTTGTGTGTTTTAATAGGCGCTGTCTGGTAAGCTGGAGGACACTGAGAACGAGCTCACCTCTGAGAAAAAGAACGCTCTGAAACAAGACAAAACCATCCAGGGACTCACTCTGGTGCTCAAGGAAAAAGACAAAGAAGTAAGGTTGATTTGTATATTGCTTTTTCAAATGCTTTTGTCTCTCTAATGAATGTTGACCATGACAACACGATTTGATCATGTGAAATGATAATATACTGTTATATCAATGTATTACAGAATGTTGACCTTTATAGTTTCTCCCCATATGCTATGCCATCTGTGTTATGCAGACGGAGGGCTTATGTAACATCGTCACACTAACCTGTCTGTCTGTGTGTGTGTTCCAGATTGAAGAGCTGTGCCATGAGATTGAGGACAGGAACGAGGCTTTAGCCAAAGCCAGGGAGATGGTGCACAAAGACCAGCTCCAGAAATACCAGGTAAGTCGTCAGACCAGACACTTAGCATTGGCCACATTCCAGGCTCAATACATTGCAGTCGCATTAAACTCATCAACCAATGGCTGTGTGCCACGTCATTCACTGCACAGTCAGGCTTGCTATGTCATATGATGTCATTAGCTAAACACCTATAAAGGCATTGTAAGATCTGACAGGCAATCTGCTGTAATCCCAATGTGTTGTCCCTCCAGGATTCCGCAATCACAGCCTTTTTTGCCAAATTAACTATTCTATGCATATTTTGCGAGGGCCTGGAAATTTGACCAATCAGTGCACTATTACCTCATAAAACAGTAAAATCAGCGCAATATTAGCGCATAAAACTGACCCATCACCGCCGTACAAAAAGAGGGCTCGCAATTTCAACCAGTCATCGCACATTTACCTCATATGGTTCAATCAAGCCCCACGTCAACAAACTTTTTCCCTTGTCAGCGCATTTTCGTGACAAATTGGAGAAAATCATTGCATATTGCCATGCAAATGTCAGAATTGCCGCAGCAAAATCAAGCATTTTTGCCCGCAAATATCACAAAAAAATCTCCCTGCTGTCCTGGAGGGACTGAATATGTGTATCTGCGTGTTCGCAAAAGGTCACAAAAGCAGACTCCACACGCACACCACTCACACACTAAAAAGACAAAAAGAGGTCTCCTGCTTCTCTAACTGTATCCACCATATTCATGCTTTCCCCCCAGGGTGCGGAGGAGCACCAGAGCCTTTTGATGGAGAAGCAGGAGGAGCTGGCCCAGCTCCAAGGGGAGCACCAAACCAAGCTGCTGGAGGCCCAGAAGCTGCAGCGCTCCCTCTGGAGGCGGGAGCAGGAGCTGTCCGACCTGCAGCAGGCCAAGGAGCAGCTGGACCAGGAGCTGGAGGAGTTCCAGCAGCAGAAGAAGAAGGGGGACAAGGCCCTCAATGTAAGCCCATAGGAGGAATTTATATTGTGTCGTTGTGCGGGAAAGCTTTGATAATGGCAAGCTGGCAGCAGGTGTGCTGTTTGTTTTATTACCACGTAATTACATGGTTTTAGCCGCATGTAATATAATGCAGACTGTATTACCCAAAGCCATTTGCCCAAAAGATGAGGGTGACTTATTTTCAGTGCTTTTGCTAACCACGTGACCCGACCAGGAAAGAAAACTCCTGACCCCATCTGTAATCAATGTACTTTATGAGCACAAGACGTTGAAAATACTGTATGTGTTTTTGGTTGAAATGTAACCACTTTATTCCCTCACAGTCAGTGTCATTGTTCTAACCCCCAGGAGGTGCAGAACCAGCTGAAGAAGCTGACTGGGGAGCTGGGCGAGAGGGAGAGCAGCCTGAAGCAGCAGTACCAGGAGCTGCTGGAGCAGACCAAGAGGAGGCTGCAGGGCCACGAGGTCACCATCCAGCGCCTCACCACTTGCCTGACCGACAAGGAGCAGCAGCTGCAGGTAGAGAGAGATACTGCAGGAGGGCAATGAAGAAGAAATGGATAGTCTGAGAACCTGAGAAACTTTAGGTGACACCATGGACATATAATCTAATCTATAGAAGGGGCTTAGAGCCTCTAACCCTGACCATTTGAAGAGGCCCGTTCTATAGATTCTATGGGTGAAACTAGGTATAGAAGGTGTGCTAGCACGGGATCTTTTTTTTTCTGTCTCTCTATTCTATCTTGTTCCTCTTTCTTTCACACTCAATTTTTTGTCTCCCTCCTCTCTCTCTCTGTCTATGCCTCTATTCTCGCTCTCTCTTCCTCTCAGGAGTACATGAACATGACGAGAGACATGGAACAGAGCAGAAGTCCTGGGGGAAGCGACACCATGCTGTCAAAGCTGCGAGAACAACTGAAACAGAAAGAGAAGGCTCTGGAGGTGTGCTTTCCATCAATGTCTTTTTAAAATGAAATATTTCACTCACTCACACACACACACTTTCTCTCGTTTTCTAGCTCCGTCTCATCTGACAAAGAATGTTGTAAGCATCCGCAGTCTTCAATATCAGCCTTTTTTATTGCTCCTCCACAGCAAGCGCTGGATGATAAGTTTGAGGCGCTAGAAGAGAAAGACAACGAGATCCACCAGCTGCACCTGTCACTCAGGGAGAAGGCGAGGGACCTGGAGAGACTCAACAACCTGCTGTCTCACAATGAGGACACCATTAATGTAGGGTCCACTAGTGTTGCTCACACTACCTTGACTGCTCAGTGCTCACACTACCTCTCTAGCGGGTGTTTGCAACCCCTAGACACTTGTGGAGATCTGAGAGGATTTGATATAGATCCACCTTGCCTTAAAGCTAAAAAGCATGTTCAATGAAGTCTCAGATGGCACAATCTTTTCCACCTCTTGGTCTCGCACACATTTTCTCTCTCCCTCACTCCAGAGTTTTGACATGTTGATAAAGGAGAAGGATGTGGAGCTGCAGCACCTGGCCAACATGCTGAAGAACCTGCAGTGGGCCAAGCAGGACGTGGAGGACAACCTGAACCGGGCCTGCAGGGAGAAGGACGCCATCATTAGCCAGCTGCAGCTCTCCCTGGAGGGCAAGACCAAGGACATGGAGGTAGGCTGCTGAGACACGCACTGAGAAACATGCTAACGAACGCACGCACGCACCCACTCACCAACTCACTCACCCACCCACTCACCCATCCACTCACCCACCCACCCACTCACCCACTCATTCACTCACTCACTCACTCACACATTGACACATACTGTTGTAGAAACATTTGACTAGATAATCAACTCAAAAATATCTCTCAAGACACCGGAGCTTGTGTATTCAAGAATTAGACTTTATTGAATAAAAAGCCTGAGCTTTGCTCCATGGAGCAAACAACTGTCTTCCTTTAGCTTAGAGCTCCCTTTTATACACACAAATGCATAATCATGTTACATAGCATATACAGTCCCTCCCCTTAGGGCAAATGATTAACTTATTTTAGTACCACTCTACCTTAGCTTTCAACGTCCAGATGTCACCTGTAATGTACTCCAAGAGGTCATGGGCGCTTTTCCACAGGAAGCCTCTTCCCTAATCGCATTATATTGGTAGCAGACCCTTTCCCTAATCTCATTATATGGTTGCAGACCCCTTCTTTACAAATAATATACGTACATACATTAAGGCATTTATCATTTACCATCCTCCCTGGCCCTTGAGTTTATGTGCATGTGGCCATGTGTCAGGTCATAAGGTCATAAGCAAAACAAATGCTAACACTAGTTCCATTGTTACTCCAATCTCCACACAGCCATCACGAGGAGTTGTATCTCCATCACATGTCATTGACATGCCCAGACCATCTGCAGGGAGTTTATGATAAACACATAAATGTCTCTGCTTTGACCTCTCCCTACATTTGCCTTAATGATACATAAAATAATACCATATAATCCCCCCTATGGGACATTCCACCAATGTCCCATCAATACAAAGATTAATCACCCATATCACAAGTATTATAACAATCAAAATAATCAATATCCATATCTAATCAAGTAATTGCCATGTCAACATCACTAAGCATTAATATTAATAAGTTATTCAGATCAGTCAATCAACTTATAATTTATAATCATAATCAAATTAATTACCCAAAACAACTTTAGAATGACAATTCTTAATTAGTCACCTTTGTTCCATCATTCAAAGTTAAAACTCTCACCTTGGCACATATTGATACTAGCCGAATGTATATTTATAATAATTCTAGCATTAACTTCCTCATAACAAGAATTACATCAGATCAGTACCCTAATGCATTGTCCAAATTACTATAAATTTAGTAGTGTATAATACCTCCTTAATCAACATAATACCTCAACTAACACTCCCTTCCTCTACCGGCACTCAATCTTCTGGCGTCTTCATTATGTTCTTCATAGTTCATCTTCGATTACCCATAGCAATGTCCCAATTCCAATGTCACACCTGAACCGCCACACCTCCACCATCATCCTGTTTTGTCCATGTGCAAACCAGTATATTGCTTTGATTTGATGCTGGATTCAGGTCTCCTGGCAGAAGTGGTTCAGACAGGAACGTCTTCAACGCCTTTGTTGTTCCTCTTCAGCCGAGTAGAGGATTTTTGGTTTTTATTGAGGTTTACACCGTTCTGGGCCAAATTATCTCTGCAATGCATTACGACACCATCCGTAGCAACCTCAGGAAAGGACAGATCATAACAGTTCAGTTGAGTTAATTTCCAATCCAAAACATCCCTATTAACATTGTCTACATGACAAATCATTATGTTTCACATTCTCCCTTGAATTCTCCCAAATTATATAACCCAATTGTTTTATTGTAACATTCCTATATTTTTGCTCATACTCTATTTGACATTACTCTGGTGTTTCCCTTTCCTTGTTCCTATTCTAACAATTGCTTACACTCTCTTCTAATAACACTTTCAACCTGGAAATCTAACACCAAATAATACATCAAATTGTTTATCTAAGTATTGGACTGTTTTCCTTATGTCTATGATTCACCTGTCTCTTTCTTTCATTATCTTAAGGTCACACTACCCCATGTGACTTCCCCATACTCTTTGTGCTGGTTTCTCACACACCAATAATATTTTAACCCTTGTATTCTAATAGTGATCCCTTCTGTGTCTTTTCCTTCTGCTCTTTATTATTATCAGTACTCCATTCCCCTTATTCTCAGGTAACTAGTCAAGTGTAGAGAAATCAATGATAAGGATATCTGGTGCGTCTTGGAGGTCTGGAATCTCTCGGCGGTCTGGAAGGTCCTTAAAGTCTCTTAATCATCAGTTCCCTCACTCTGGTACAATGGTTAAGATGATACCCGATACTCCCCTCTATCCGTACCATTGTTGGTATAACCTGGACAACGATGTGTATGGTCACTTCAATTGTTAACCTTCCCCCGTCACTAGGGTCTCCGGATCAGCCAGAGTCCCTCTCAATCTATCGACATCGGTCTGTGAAAAGTGTCCTTCTATCAGCCTACCCATAGGGAAGCTCAGAGTTACTGCTGCAAAGACACAAGCACAGACACACACAAAAGACAACAATGCTACCCAATGGCTGAGGTTGGAACACTCCTATAGTGGGAAACATGAATCTTAGTATCTGTCTCCACCACTTTTCCCATCATTAAGGTAGCCAACCACACCTGGTACAGGCCCCTCCACATAGGGTCTTTCCAGCTCTTTCTTATGTAGTCTTTTGCCATCACATAGTCTCCAGGGCACAGAAAATACTCAGATTCTCCTACTCATTTGGGCAGAGTTATCTTCACCCATGAAAATAAAATCTTAAGAACATTGTTAGGTTAGGTGAGACACAGTATGCTACTAATGTCCTCTCATCCTCTCAGCACACTTGCTTCCAGCTTGTTGTAGTCCACTTATTTCATGCCTCCTATCACAAAAACAAAAAAGATTTAACCTAACCCATAACACATTATTACTACTGCTCACATCCTTAATACACCTTGCATACTTCCCCACAAAACCATAATAAACCATTAAAACCTCTGTAATCCCAACTTCCCCCCTTGGACACATACATCACATCGTGATTCATGTGTACAAAAAACAAAACAACAACAATATTGCCTATTAAACCAAAAATAATAACTAAACTGAAAATGACAACCCTTGAGCATATATTTACTTAATTGTATCCCATAACACTATTCAAGGAGTACCTCTCTTTCAGGACTAACTCTCTCACGTCATCCTTGTCCTGTTTGGACTAATTTATATAAATATATAGGATTTTTTCCAAATTATAAACTTCTTCACAATTATCCTTATTTTATCTAACTCCCTAATTCAACATGCCTCTAGAATTCATAGTGCGGGTGATCAGGTCGCACTATAAAGCCAGGACAGATTTCAGAGGTCATTGAAATCCTTCAATGAATTGTTTCATCCTATAGTATACTACTTCTAACAACCATCAAAACCTTTCATAAATGTTGTAATTCCTTAGTACAGCTCTTTTCAAAATAAATCACACATATGTACTTATCCCTCAGTAAATAAAACCCAAATTACATGTGTATGCCCCTTTAAGATATTTCACTTCCATCCTGTCAAAAAAAACCAAATAGAAATAAAAATCCTATACAGGTAACATTTCATACTAAGTAGTTTGTTTGTGGATATTTGAACACCATATAATAAAACAATAAACAAACAAAAATGGCCAGGCCTTATTTATTTTGGTAGCCCCCTATGACAACCTAAAAATAAAACTACTTAATTTTACTAACTAGTTCCACCCTAGCCCAATAAAGAAATCCCCATGTTCCTGGAAGAGAAAGTATACATGTCGTTAACATATAATCAACAATCCAAAGATAGTAATTACACACAAAACATCATACATATATCCCCAGTCCTATCTCATCAACAATCATTAACCCCAGCATTGATTTAAAATTGTTTGATACGTCGTGTCCTACTTTACCCCTAACATAATATTATAGGAGACTCCCATCAACCCTTAAAAGAAACTCCCACTTAGAAGACACTAGATAACAACACATTTTATCAAGTTAACTACACCTTCCACTATAAACCTATAACCCCTTTTTAGTAATCTAAACGTCGCAAACTGTTGCATTGATGTTCTCTTTTTTTTTTCTTCTAAAATATAAACTTATTGTTTCATAATCCAAAACCCATAAAAAGATGTCTACTTAATCCATCAAGTCAACAGCAACAACTACCTCCCCAGGTTCAACGTACTATAAACGAATTATCGCTATCTGAAGTAATAAAACATCATCATAACTCACTGCTGTTTAAACAACCTATATAATGTCATAATAAAATGATCAATTATCAAATATCGTTCCTTATTCAACTATCGAGACATGTTCTTCATTAGTTAATCGTCTCCACAAAGCAATAATACCTAATATCCTATTCTCATTCTCCTAAGTAGAAATAATTACTTATATTAAACAATCCCATTCAACATTAAGTCAACCTGTCTCATCACCCAATTAACTTATTTTTTAAAACCCTCTACAATATCTATCATACTTTACCGCTAATTTCCCTCATAACGGTACCTCAACAGATGACAAATTATTTTATATTTATAGTAAAAACCAATAAAACATCCAATTCACCAATATGCAATTTCAATTACTATGTTATCCTATCCAACATGGATTGGTAGGACAACATATTTCCTATAATGTTATCAATGAAACCAGTAATTCACATCAACGTAAAATATTTGCTTTCTGTCCCTCACTGGATTCGAACCAGGGACCCTCTGCACACATTGACAACATTCACCATCGAAGCACCGATACCCGTCGCTCCACCAGTGCCACACAAAGCATCTACTTCCAGTTCATAGAGCAAGTGACGTCACCCAACGAAAACCGCACTAGCTCTCACCGCTAACCAGCTAGCAATGTCCTGCCGATAACAATAATAATAATAATATGCCATTTAGCAGACGCCTTTATCCAAAGCGACCCACAGTCATAATATTCAATCTCCTATGACTTCCTACAAAATACGCAATCCTTGTGCACTTAACGTAACCCATAATATCCCTTATAGCGCTCTCACGTTTCAGCAAGCCCCAATGTCCAACATCCACAAACAAAAATGGAAATTCTTCAATTTTTCCTAGCAGATCTAATAAACCACTTTCAAACAACGTTCTGCATTTACCTCTATCATAGGGTTTAAAAACGAACTTAACAACATTAACCATCCTAAATTGCCGTAGTAACATCATGTTTGGTTCAGTTGATCTATTACCATATAAGACATTCACTTCTCCATGCGTCGTAAACTATATCCTATTTCTCCTGTAATCAACTAAAATCATAGCCACGCAATTAAACCATCACTCCGCCATTATCAGAATGAATGAATCTATTAATCTATCCTTTCTAAGTAAGCTACAAGTAACACCAAACACTTGCTGTAGTTTACCATCATATATTGAAATCATCCATTTATCACAATCCAATTTATTTATAGACATATTCCACCATTGTCACTCGTTTAATCCAGCAAAACCTTATTCAATGACTCCCACGTACTCTCCTCTCCATACCCGTTAACATTTTAGCAGATGCTTTTATTCCAAACTACATTATTATACTTATACTAGCCCCCCTTGGGAATCGAACACCCAACCCTGGCGTTGTAAGCACCGTGCTCTACCAACTGAGCTACAGAGGACCACAGATGAGCGCACAGTGCCCTCCTCTGATAATACTATAATTGTAGCCCATCGCATTACTTTAGTTCAAAACATAAGTTTGTTTATTCAACAAATCCAGAACCCACTATAAATTGATGCTATTCCCTCAGCATAAAAGCCAAAGCTCCTTGCATCCCCTGGTTTACGTAATGAAAATACATTATCATTCTACAATTCACCAAATATTCGCATACACCACTGGTGACGCAAACCATAGAATAAAGTAATAACAATTAGAATTTTGTCAAATAAATGTTTTCCATCCAACTATTCAAACTTTCTTTAAATAACTATTTCAGCACGATACAGTCAAACAAGTATGACTCTCTTTTAACCGGAAACTAGTTCATGGCATTAGTAAAATCTATTCACATCCCAACAATAACTAATAATATATGTATATTCATAATATTAAAATACCTTACTTTCATTCCAGTCTACCTAAACAATTCAAATTATGGCCATAACTCTATCGCAATTGCCAGTACGCTATTCAGACTATAGTCACTCCTCACTCCTTCCCGTTGAATAAGTGAGTCCTTCAGTCTGAAAAGAGGCAGGCTACTCGATCTTCCAATCTTATCGTGACTGTTCCTTCAATCTAAACAACCCACAACTATAGCTAAACTATACTTAAAAAACCTAGACTCTGTTCAGCGATGCAGAATCTATGCTTTATTGAAATGACAAGTTAATCCCCTTTTATTCCAATGATAATGGTCAGTAGTTTTAGTATCTGACACATATCACACTTTATCAGAAAATAGCTTTGAAGGACACAGATCTCACACGCTCAACGTAATCAACTTAGCAGTCAACAAGTCAAACCCCACATTCATTGATTTGGAAACAGATCTAACGACCTAACCAAATGAATTATATATCTGCTTCTGAAATAATAGATAGTTTATTATAATGTTTAATTATAATGTTTAATTCCACCTGTCCTATATACTCTCTCCCATTTCCACGTACGTCTACGTGTTTGAGCAAGTCAACACCTATAATTTTATCCAATCCCTCGTATTAAATCACACTCACATAAAATTCATTATATTCCAATTTATTCATATCTACCAAACCATTCATGTTTCTAATTATTCTTTATTGCCACAAATCAGTTAATCACCATCTAGTCTCAGCAGAACAAACAACAAATTACCCAAATCCTTTCCCTCAGTCATAGAATCCTCCTAGAATCATATATGCTGGTCACTATTCCCTGATCTTACAAAATTCTATGACAGGCATTGTTGTACGAAACTCCAAGATATAATTTACAAGAAAAGCTTATTATTCCAACGTATATATAATTATCAAACACACCTCTTTATCTCATCATTCAAACTTCAGAGTGCGACTAATTTACACCATTATACCACTTTTATTCCATATTTATACAATGTTGTTCTTAAACGCCCTTAATTACTTTGTATAACCTACAGGAATATTTTATTCTATCAAAGGGCCCAAATTTGGAATGTTAACCCTATCCTAGTTATTATTTTACTGAGGTCAATTTATCATAATACTGCATCACCTCTAAAGTTTCTAAATATAATGTCAGAAACATACCCTAACAGATTTATCAAAATACAATGCATTAACGTCATATGACCACACCAATAAACGTGACCTGTTCCTCCAACAGGATTTATTCTACCCCTCCTGGTAACGTGAATTTTCTACACTCAGTTGGTCAATGAATATCCACGCACCATTTATTCTTCTCTTTCCTAATGTGAGATTGGGCACACCCTTTCTCCATCAGACAGAAGCTTCAAACAACCTCAAATATATTTCCTTTCCTTACAGAAAGGCTATTTACTTGCAGGGTTTCTTATTATTCTCACTCACACAGATGAGCAGCCACTTGTGCCCAAATGAATCAGACAGTTGAATGACTCACAGCCGCACAAGCAAACCATTCACCATACGAGATGAGCAGACCTACTCTTATTTAACACTTTCTCTATATTTTGAAGCCTTGTAGCTATTTAACCCGTTCACCTACTCAGGATGACCGGTGTTACTCCAATTTATGGTGTCACCTACGCCGGATGACCTAACTTTTTTACCTGATCTACCCTACCTAATATTGGCATCATCACAACACAGGATGATTCCCTACCTACCTGTGCAGACCTCCAACAAAGAATTTCTCATCAGAGCGGTATCCGTAAGTAGCCACCTGTCCGTTCAGTCCCCTGGAATGCTAATTTTAGCTCTCCAAAGCGGTATCCACAGGATTTCTATTTATTTAGCCCCCTAGGTATTACACTTCCTCAACACACCTGGACTTCTACTACGCTTTCCTAAGCGACCTGTAAATTCTGCCCTATTTTTTCTGTTACACTTCCTCAACACAGAAAAAGAAGCGGTATTACACAGGATTTCTGCCTACCTAAGCAGTCCTCAAGACGATTCACTCCCCCAACACGTCTAAAAGCGGTATCTGCAGGACTTAACATGTTATTGTCTGATCGCTCAACCAGCGGGACAACCACCCGTGTCGAAATGACCCAGACAGAGCGATCAGCAAGATGAATCAAATGAATCAAATGAATCAAATGAATCAAATGAATCAAATCAATTGAACAGACGGTTCAGACAAACAACAGCGACATGTATTCTTAAATTCAAAAGCTCCTAGTGTCTAACTTTCTGGTTCTTAAATTTGGAGAGACCTACTTGGTATTTCTTTAGATGTTGCCGAGCCCCGGATCGGACCACACAAACGTTATACTATATTAGTAAGAACTTGGCTTACCTTTTAAAAGCGGCCGCTTTTGTTTGTATGGTCCGTCCAAGCCGTTTCACAACTGCAAATGTATACCGTCACTGATCCCTATCAAGTCCCATCTGGGGTGCCAAATATGTTGTAGAAACATTTGACTAGATAATCAACTCAAAAATATCTCTCAAGACACCGGAGCTTGTGTATTCAAGAATTAGACTTTATTGAATAAAAAGCCTGAGCTTTGCTCCATGGAGCAAACAACTGTCTTCCTTTAGCTTAGAGCTCCCTTTTATACACACAAATGCATAATCATGTTACATAGCATATACAGTCCCTCCCCTTAGGGCAAATGATTAACTTATTTTAGTACCACTCTACCTTAGCTTTCAACGTCCAGATGTCACCTGTAATGTACTCCAAGAGGTCATGGGCGCTTTTCCACAGGAAGCCTCTTCCCTAATCGCATTATATTGGTAGCAGACCCTTTCCCTAATCTCATTATATGGTTGCAGACCCCTTCTTTACAAATAATATACGTACATACATTAAGGCATTTATCATTTACCATCCTCCCTGGCCCTTGAGTTTATGTGCATGTGGCCATGTGTCAGGTCATAAGGTCATAAGCAAAACAAATGCTAACACTAGTTCCATTGTTACTCCAATCTCCACACAGCCATCACGAGGAGTTGTATCTCCATCACATGTCATTGACATGCCCAGACCATCTGCAGGGAGTTTAGGATAAACACATAAATGTCTCTGCTTTGACCTCTCCCTACATTTGCCTTAATGATACATAAAATAATACCATAATACTTACGTACACACCCCCGTAGATATACATTCACATAACACATAGACAAACACACAGTTTGCAATATACTCACAACGCAGTAGTTCTTTTAAAAACATACTCACAAAAACGGACACTCACTCGACACAGTCATACAGTAATAATATACTGCTATCTTAGATCATGTCTCTCTTGGAAAAAAAGGTTTATCTCTAAGGGACAAAGCTGGATAAATAAAGGTTGAACAAAAATAATATTAAACTCATTCTTTCTCTCCTTCTCTCTCCACACCCCTCTCTGTGTGTAGGAGATGGCGAGTGCCCTGCTGAGCCAATCCCAGTCTCAGGCCCGTGACCTTGCGGAGCAGATGGGTCAGAGGTTAAAGGTGACGGAGGCCATGCTGGCAGAGGCGGTCAAGGCCCGGGTGAGGCTGGTTGCGGACAACGAGAGCACCGTGGAGGGCCTGCTTGCCACCATCATCAGCAAGGACCAGCTTCTCAAGGTACACACACACATACATGTTCATATCCTCCACTCTGTCTCAGAACACATTCATCATTTATTTGTCATTTCTACAGAAGGTTTAGTTTTATGATCTCTCATGTCTGTGTTGTCTTACCAGGAGTCAGCGGAGCACTATAACCGCACACTGTCTGAGCGCGCCCAGGAGATCCAGGAGCTGAAGAGACAGCTGTTTGTCCGCCTGCAGCAGCTGGCCTCAGCAGAGAAACATAGTTCCACGGCAACACAGGAGGGTTACCTGGAGATTGCCGAGCTCAGGGCCCTGCTGACGGAGAAAGACTCCATCATCAACGTGAGTGGGACTGAAAGCGCTACTCAATTATTTGGTTAAATGCATTGTATAAAATGTACTATTGTGTAAATTGTGGGGGGATGATTTTTAAGAGTTTAGGATTTAGATGGGTGCTGGCTACGCTATGTGTAGGATTTTGCTCCTGCCCAGCTCAAACGGACGCAAAATGGAAGACACTTTGGTTATTTGTGTGTTAATGCTGGGCTAGAACAAAAGCCTGCACACATCGTTGACCATTCCTGACTTCTCTTGCAATAACATTGAATAAAGATAATTGCAAGGTTATTCAATTGCAAGGCTATGAACTAGAGAGCTCCAGTGTGTTAAACATTTGATTTCCTCTTCAAGAAACTTCTGGAGCGTGGGCAGGAGAGAGACCAGTTCCTGGCTGAGTTAGGGCAGAAGGAGCCTGCACCGCCTCAGGTGTTGGAGCTCAGACAGACCATCCAAGTGCTGCAGGAGAGGCTGGAGGAGAGGGAAGGTGAGAGACTCGTATCTCTTAAAGCTACAGGCAGGTCACCAGTAATGTGAGATCAATGACTTCAAGCAAAGGAGGAAGGCATTTTCAAAGCATTCAGGAAACGGGGGAAAACTTTTGGTTGAACGTTGCTTTCTTTGGGAAAGGTAACCCACTAACATTGTCCTCAACTGCTCTGTCCCTCTCTGTAGCGGAGCTCTCCAAGAAGAACAACAATGAGGACAACATGGAGAAGGTCCCTCTCACCAAGAAGACTCTGGTCATCCTGAAGAAGGAGCTAGCTCAGAAGACTGATGCTCTCAACAAGGCTCTGAAGAGGGAGAATGAACTCAAGGTGAACTAAAAGAACACACTAACACCCCTGCTCATTTAAAGTGTATCACTTTTTTGGTCTTTTGTTGGCTTGTCATTCTTAGGCACAGATCTAGAATCAGCTTACCCTCCACAAATCCTAATATTTAACCATTAGAAGGAAAAACTCAAAACTGACCTTGATGTCTTCCTGTGTTCCAGATGTCCCTGGCTGATCTCGAGTCAGTGTTGTCTGAGCTGGAGGGGCGTATCGAGGTCCAGGCGGCCAGCATAGACTCCCTCACCACCACTCTTGAGACCAAGGACGCGATTATAAATGTGAGTGGATGGCCAGTGGCACTTCAATTTACCCAGAAAGACTCACAGCTATAATCGTTGCCAAAGGTGATTCTAACATGTATTGACTCAGGGGTGTGAATACTTATGTACATTTGATATTTTAGTATTTCATTTTCAATAAATTAGCAAACATTTCTAAAAACATGTTTTCACTTTGTCATTATGGGGTATTGTGTGTAGATGGGTGAGAAAAAATATATATTTAATCCATATTGAATTCAGGCTGTAACAACAAAATGTGGAATAAGTCGAAGAGTTTGAATTCTTTCTGAAAGCACTGTATGTGTGTGGTGACAGGACCTCCACCAGCATCTGGGCCAGACAGGGGACAACCAGACCCGTGAGACCCAGGATCAGGCTGCCAGAGCCGGGGTCGAGCGCTCACTCCCTGACCTCCCTCAGACGGAGAGAACCATCATCGGTGGAGACAGCCAGCAAAAGGTAGCACCACAAAAAAGCAAGCCCTGCCTGAAACGTATTTATGAGCTGTAATGTGCCATCTATCTTCAGCAAAATGGTAATGTCTGGATGTATCAAAGTCAAGTGTTAAGATGTCGCACAACCTTTTGTGATATGTTTGGTTTAATTGTGTGAAAATAATATAACTACAACCTGAAGAGGCTCACTCTTTGGTCCGCATGTCAAAAAACATTCAAGCATGAGAATAAACCCGCCATGACCTGGATCATGTTGATTAAGCATCAAAGGAAGAAAACGGACTGACTCGTGGAGGGACTACCTGGATTTGTCCAATAAGAATACCTCATTTTTGTTTTCCATTGTGAAATGTATTAAAATATCTACCATTGCATGCCCAATGAATATGACCTTTGTACAGTAACTGACCTTTCAGTGACCTCTGAACTGTGCCACTCCCTCCCCAGGCCCTGCCGTCGTTGGCTGACCTGCAGATGGAGCACCGCTGTCTGAACCAAGCCTTGAGGGCCGAGCAGCAGCTTTACTCCAGCCTGGTCCGCACCGTCAAGGAACAAGACGGGTAAAAGGATTATTATCACAGATTGGATTTTTTTCCACATTATATTCTATCGAAATACAGTGGGGGAAAAAAGTATTTAGTCAGCCACCAATTGTGCAAGTTCTCCCACTTAAAAAGATGAGAGAGGCCTGTAATTTTCATCATAGGTACACATCAACTATGACAGACAAAATGAGGAGAAAAATCCAGAAAATCACATTGTAGGATTTTTTATGAATTTATTTGCAAATTATGGTGGAAAATAAGTATTTGGTCAATAACAAAAGTTTCTCAATACTTTGTTATATACCCTTTGTTGGCAATGACACAGGTCAAACGTTTTCTGTAAGTCTTCACAAGGTTTTCACACACTGTTGCTGGTATTTTGGCCCATTCCACCATGCAGATCTCCTCTAGAGCAGTGATGTTTTGGGGCTGTCGCTGGGCAACACTTTCAACTCCATCCAAAGATTTTCTATGGGGTTGAGATCTGGAGACTGGCTAGGCCACTCCAGGACCTTGAAATGCTTCTTACGAAGCCACTCCTTCGTTGCCCGGCGGTGTGTTTGGGATCATTGTCATGCTGAAAGACCCAGCCACGTTTCATCTTCAATGCCCTTGCTGATGGAAGGAGGTTTTCACTCAAAATCTCACGATACATGGCCCCATTCATTCTTTCCTTTACACGGATCAGTCGTCCTGGTCCCTTTGCAGAAAAACAGCCCCAAAGCATGATGTTTCCACCCCCATGTTTCACAGTAGGTATGGTGTTCTTTGGATGCAACTCAGCATTCTTTGTCCTCCAAACACGACGAGTTGAATTTTTACCAAAAAGTTCTATTTTGGTTTCATCTGACCATATGACATTCTCCCAATCCTCTTCTGGATCATCCAAATTCACTCTAGCAAACTTCAGACGGGCCTGGACATGTACTGGCTTAAGCAGGGGGACACGTCTGGCACTGCAGGATTTGAGTCCCTGGCGGCGTAGTGTGTTACTGATGGTAGGCTTTGTTACTTTGGTCCCAGCTCTCTGCAGGTCATTCACTAGGTCCCCCCGTGTGGTTCTGGGATTTTTGCTCACCGTTCTTGTGATCATTTTGACCCCACGGGGTGAGATCTTGCGTGGAGCCCCAGATCGAGGGAGATTATCAGTGGTCTTGTATGTCTTTCATTTCCTAATAATTGCTCCCACAGTTGATTTCTTCAGCACTGTATCATAGACCCAAGAGACAGATTCCAACATCTATAAAATGTAATACTTCCCCCCCAAAAACTAATCCTCCTCCAAATATGGTATTTATATGGAATTGCAGATTCAGTCTTCCCAGCCTGGTGCAGGTCTACAATTTTGTTTCTGGTGTCCTTTGACAGCTCTTTGGTCTTGGCCATAGTGGAGTTTGGAGTGTGACTGTTTGAGTTTTTTTTTTTGGTGTGTGTCTTACAATAACCAGCATCTCAATATATACAGTGCATTCGGAAAGCATCCAGAACCCTTGACTTTTTGCAAATTTTGTTACGTTACAGCCTTATTCTAAAATTGATTTTAAAAAATCCTCATCAATCTACATACAATACCCCATAATGACAAAGAGAAAACCTGTTTTTAGACATTTTTGCTCATTTATAAAAAATGTAAAACAGAAATACCTCACTGACATACGTATTCAGACCCTTTGCTATGAGACTCGAAATTGAGCTCAGGTGCATCCTGTTTCCATTGATCATCCTTGAGATGTTTTTACAACTTGATTGGAATCCACCTGTGCTAAATTCAATTGATTGGACATGATTTGTAAAGGCACACACCTGTCTATATTAGGTCCCACAGTTGACAGTACATGTCAGAGCAAAAACCAAGCCATGAGGTTGAAGGAATTGTCCATAGAGCGCCGAGACAGGATTGTGTCGAGGCACAGATCTGGGGAAGGGTACAAAAAAATGTCTGCAGCATTGAAGGTCCCCAAGAACACAGTGGCTTCCATCATTCTTAAATGGAAGAAGTTTGGAACCACCAAGACTCTTCCTAGAGCTGGCTGCCCGACCAAACTGCGCAATCGGGGGAGAAGGGCCTTGGTCAGGGAGGTGACCAAGAACCCGATGGTCACTCTGACAAAGCGCCAGAGTTCCTCTGTGGAGATGGGAGAATCTTCCAGAAGGACAACCATCTCTGCAGCACTCCACCAATCAAGCCTTTATGGTAAAGTGGCCAGATGGAAGCCACTCCTCAGTAAAAGGCACATGACAGCCCGCTTGGAGTTTGCCAAAAGGCACCTAAAGGACTCTCAGACCATGAAAAACAAGATTATCTGGTCTGATGAAACCAAGATTGACCTCTTTGGCCTGAATGCCAAGAGTCACGTCTGGAGGAAACCTGGCACCATCCCTACGGTGAAGCATGGTGGTGGCAGCATCATGCTGTGGGGATGTTTTTCAGCGGCAGGGACTGGGAGACTAGTCAGGATCGAGGCAAAGATGAACAGAGCAAAGTACAGAGAGATCCTTGATGAAAACCTGCTCCAAAGTGCTCAGGACCTCAGACTGGGGCGAAGTTTCACATTCTAATAGGACAACGACCCTAAGCACACAGCCCAGACAATGCAGGAGTTGCTTCGGGACAAGTCTCTGAATGTCCTTGAGTGGCCCAGCCAGAGCCTGGACTTGATCCCGATCGAACATCTCTGGAGAGACCTGAAAATAGCTGTGCAGCGACGCTCCCCGTCCAACATGACAGAGCTTGAGAGGATCTGCAGAGAAGAATACCAAATACAGGTGTGCCAAGCTTGTAGCGTCATACCCAAGAAGACTCGAGGCTGTAATTGCTGCCAAAGATGCTTCAACAAAGTACTGAGTAAAGGTTCTGAATACTTATGTAAATGTGATATTTAAATTTTTAATACATTTACAAAAAATACAATTTTAGAATAAGGCTGTAATGTAACAACATTTTGAAAAAGTCAAGGGGTCTGAATACCTTCCGAATGCACTGTAGATAATATCTATCTGTATATACTGTATGTGAAATAGTAATGTATACATTGTGATTGTGGGTGTTGCAGTGCCCAGCCTCTCCACGCCCTCCAGATGGAGCTGACGTCAGTGACGCTTCTCAGGCAGCAGCTGGAAGAGGGCATCCGGAGCAACGAGGAGCTCAGAGAAGACCTGGACAGAGAGATCGCCAGAGCCAAGCTCTCAATAGAAGGTGCAGTAGTACACAAAGGAGAGGGGGAGGGGGAGACTAGAGAGAGGGGGGAAGAATGAAGGGAACTATGAAGGGCACAGAAGAGAGGGAGGGGGAGACTATAGAAAGGGGAGAAGAAAGAAGGGAAGGGGACAGAAAAGGAAGGGGAGAGAAGGGGGGCCTGATCCTTTTCTTCCTAATCTAGACAGAAGCACAGCTGTGATTGAACAATGTCTATATTGAGTTGAGGAAGTAGAGACCCACTGAACTATTTTCAAATGTAGATACATTTTTTTGGGGGGGGATTTATATTACTTTCTAGGAAGGTATGTATACTCTCTTAGAAAGCAAGAGAGGGAGACACACACACACACCTCAGCCGATTTTTTTTCTCTGCTTGTTCTGACGCTACTAACACAGCTTGTTGAAAAGCCCTCTGTTCATCCTCTCTGCATGTCAACACTTGCTGTCCCATGTCTGTCTGTCTGCATGTCCACCTGGTTCTGCTCCTTATCCGTTTGCCGTCTCTCTGTTTACTGTCATCATCTTCATCACTATCCTCCTCTCCATCTGCATGTCTAAAACAAAATCGCTGTCTATAATGTCACCACTCTGCATGAACCACTCTGCAGAATAAAATGTACTGCCTGTGTCTGTCTATCTATCTCTGTCTTTCTCACTTACAGCTTACATTTACTCATTTGCTTATCTTCTACCTTTTTAATTATTTATCTGTTTATTTACATAGTTTACGTTTGTTTTTGCTTGCCCATTAAAAAGCCATGTCTGTCTTGTTGCATCACTTCATTCACATTTCACATGAAATCATTGTCACTAATCCAACGATGCCTGCTGCTCTCTCTCTCTCTCTCTCTCGCTCTCTCTCTGCCATCTGTTAGTTTAATTGAGAGTTTTTATGCCATTACAGTATATAACAACCTAATAGGTTAGCGCAGTGTGGTATCTGGACAATTTATGACTTTGCTAATGGTTGCAAATGGTTTTAGAGGATGTTGACTCAGCTTAAGGGGAGCATCTGGAGAGTAGTTCTATAGGGGAACCCTAAAGCCGAGGAAGTCTGTTAGGTGGAGTCCTGGGATTGGTCTGTAGGGGAAAACACCCATATCAGGTTACATAGGATATATACTATGGTTTGGGACAAAGGACGGGGAGAATACCATATTTAAAGTTTGGGTCAGGTTATTCTCCAGATGTCTGCAGATATCTGTAAATTGACGCTGGAATACTTTGATATAATAAACCTTTATAATCAAAGTACAGTGTCAGCGGATTTCCTTGTTCTCACAGCATAATTAGCATCGTTTTCTCGACACCACAGCAGTTACAGAGTATACCTTCTGTGGCTGCATCCCTATGCATTACTCTTCTCCCGAAGTGTGCACTTGCTTGTGAAGTGTGCATTGCTTCAAGCATATTACCCATGTTGCTTACAAAACATGCATAGGTCAATACAATCATCCTGCATGCTGAAGTGAATTCAACGACCAAGAAAGATGGAAAGTCACTCTGTTTAGAAGTGCAATGCTTCAGTTGCAATGCAGTGTCAGAACACATACCAAGATACAACCTTGATTGATGAATCCATATGTCTGATCTGTGAGAGTGTAGAACCCTGTCCATGTGTGGCATAACTCAGGGGTCTCAATGAGGGAGTATGTGTGTGTGTGTGTGTGTGTGTGTGTGTGTGTGTGTGTGTGTGTGTGTGTGTGTGTGTGTGTGTGTGTGTGTGTACGTTCCCTTCTGCGTGCCAGCTCATACCTCCCCTCCCCTATTAAGAGAGCCAGGTGTATAAATATTCAGTGCCTTCAGAAAGTATTTACACC